TGGGAAGATTCTTATTGCCAAACAGTTTAATTCTCAAATCTATGGTACGATAAGTTTATCCATTCTGTTTAAGTCTGTACCTTCAGTCTTGCTTGTTGGATTTTACCTCCTATTCTAACGAAGTCTCTTGTCTATATCATTTATTTGATCACTTGGCCGTAATCGGGGCTACCCCAGTTACTCAAAGTAAACAGATTTAGGTCAACAGCCTCGAAAACTACTTATTATGAATATAAGTAGCATGTTCAAACTAAATTGTAGATACAAGATTACTTATTGAAAATCGCCCTATAAAATTCTGAAACGGCATGGACCGGAATTGCCTTGAATGGCACGTCCACTCTGTAACACATCTATGCCAATGGCACCTATGATAGTGTGGTCCGGGGGCAAGATGTCAAAAATACTCATTGGAATGGTTAGGTTAGAGTACCGTCAGGGCTGCTGATATAACCCAGGTCAGTTCGAAACTGCTGTCCACTCAGTATAAGAATAACTTTTGGGAGGCAAGGCTAAATGGGGTTCGAAAGCATTATGAAACGCTTCATATGATTGCGGGAAAATTCCTAGTGAGACAAGGATGACTTGGCATAGATGATACATTTATTCTGTGTTTTAGCCTTTTGTTTACGATTGACGTACTCATAAGTAAATCATGGAAAAAGGACCGTTAATCAACTGTTGAGATGCCCCAAAATGTATGATGTCTCTTTGGGTTTGCGGTTTTAATAAGAAACCTTGAAAAGCATTAGCTAAAAGCTGTTTCTCATCCGTTAGCCTACCTGAATGAGCTTCTTGTTTGTCTGCCAGGCCTCGAAATTGCTGTAATGATGTAAAACTCAAACCACTTTCACGATGATTCTTGGCAGTCGTTGCTGTCTGCCAGGAAAACCAGTCAATCTGTTTTGCCAAAGGAGACCCAACAGACTGCACGGCTTTGGACATATTCTCGACTGCTTTTGGCTTCTTCTCTACCGAAAAGTTGTCACCTTCCGATGTCCCTGCCCGTTGCTGCCCGACCTCTGCGACTGATTCCCTTTTTGCCGTCCTCCTTGACTGTATCCCTGCATCTCCGTCCGACCAAGGGATCTCAGACGGCCTAGACGACTGGCCAAATGAAGGCATGACAAAAGATGGAGTACTCGAGGACCAGGCAGCTTCCGAAGCCGACCCAATGTCATTGGCCTCTGTGGAACTGCCAGATTTCCCTCGGTTCTGTTCCCTCGCGTCCAGTTGGCAAGGCTGTGACTGAAAGGGTGAAGTCGCCTCGGAGCTCTGATACATCCAGTTGTCAAGTAGTTGCCAGGCGGCCACAAGATAGGCATCACGGAGACAGAGATTCAGTGGCTCCTCCTCGAACGTGTGCGCTGTTGGCACTGCTTTATGGCAGGAACATGCGGAATTGGCGCACAGAATAAACGCCGGCACAAGACCTGACGGACACTTTGAGTCGCTGGGGGGGCAGCACGGCTTGACGACACGAAGATTGTCGCTAAAGGGCTCATTCTGCTCGGCCGTCTGTAGACCAGCGGAAGCAGCCGGCAGATCTGGCAACGGATTGCAAGCATCACCGCGGCAAACTGTGCATCCGGGCTTTGACGTACGTCTGGGGCATGCAGGAGGTGAAGCCAACTGACTAGCCGTGAAGGCAGATGGGCTGTCCGTAAAGTTGTCTACCGTCTGGCTGAGGGGAGAATGAAAGAATGGCTGAAAAGCAAGAGAAATTGCATCAGAATGGCTATTTCTCGTCATCTTTGGACATCGTAAGTCTGATGACTTTACGTGCATAATGCATTGTACTAGGAGCTGGAAAAGATTGTAGAATCTTTTGAGGCGAACTCTGATTCCTGTTTCTCTGATGGTGTTTGGACTACTTAGTTTCAGAAGATTGAATCCTACCACAATGCTATGAATAGGCCTCGGGTTCCCATTAAATTTTACATAGACTTGCTTTCCAAAAGGTGGACTGCAATTTCGGACTCGCATGGGTCATATCAGCTACCCCAGCGGGACTCGAACTCCGGCAGTGTCGCGTATCGTCTTGAACGTCATTCATTACGCTGCAGCGTCATGAGGCCCTTTTGGCCACAGGTCAAAAGTGAATTCCAAGAAAGCCTAAACCTTTTCCATATCGAATCTGTGGTGGAATTTTCGATGAAGCAAGTTTGTATTTGCTATCACAAGCGACTACATTGCTCATTCGAAGGTATGAAGAATAAAATGGTGTGGCCTTTTGTGTGTTCGCAGTCTTCTTTCGTTGTATAGAGGTTGTTTGTCCTTGTTTTCGCAACATGGTCATATTGGTAGGAAGACTTAGAGGAACGTATCTAGTCCGGAGTTTAGTGTATACATCATCATTTCCAAAGTTTAACCTTGGACTTGGTACTCGTCAAAGAGACAAGACGAGTTGTTGTGTGGTGCTAAGAATGGCGATACCCATTGACGATGCCGACTATGATGCCGGCGAAACGTTTGGGAGTGTACCACGTCCACGTTTCAACTTTGGAAATGATCATGCAGACAATGGACTCCGGACTAGATACGTTCCTCTAAGTCCATGTTGCGAAAACAAGGTCAAACAGCCTCTATGCATTGCTTGTTTTTCGTTTCATCACTAGGTTTTCGAGACTACCAGATTGGCTTTAATGTAAACGTTCAATTTGATGCAGTCTGCGAGGCGGACTCTGTCGTTTCGAGTGAATGGTTGACGGATGTTGCAAATGCTTTAAATTAGCACAAAATTATGAGGACTATTTGGCAAAAGTGTACTGCAGAGATCAACACTCGCAAACACGCATAGACAAACACACTTAAATATAAATTTCATGATTTATATTTATATTTATATATTGAATTATATACAAATATATTTTTCTAATTTTAATCTCGTTGATAAGTATAAGTAGAAATAGCACGTAGAATGGAGCCGGATAGTCTTATTTTGCAAGAATTAGTTCCAGCTTTGATAATGTCTGTCAACCGTTTATACGCAACGAGTGAGGATGCCTCGTAGACTGCATCAACTTGGACGTCTTTTTAAAACAAAACGGCTGGAGAACAATCTGAGTTAGTCCAATTATAATTTCATACCAACGATGAAGCCTTTGTTCAGAGGCTCTTTTTGAGTTATAGACTTTAAACGGTACTTGAAGGACAAAGTGAGAACTTCCTATCATCAAATGTTAATCCCAACTTGTTGAGGTCAAGTTCTGACAAAATCTATCCCAGCTATGAAATCTTATCTAAACTGTATGATATTAAAATATTTATTTCGCCTTGCGCCAATTAAAGCTAACATTTAGGACGCGTTTAATTAAGGCCTTTGGTATACTTGTGCTTTTTGCTCATCTCTTCTATTTTTCTGTTTATCGGCCTTTGTTAAAGTATAAACTTTTAGTCTCTTGTTTTGTTACCACTGCTGCTTATCAACTGGCGGTATGAGGATAAATAGAAAAACTACAGCGAAGTTTACATGGATTAATTATGACAGTTAATGATTTGACTTCGTCTTTTGATTAGATGAATGTCTCTTGTCATGACTCCTCTGCTCTATTATCCATTATAATTTCCAGCCTCTAATCATGGATTTGGTACATTCCTAGACGTTTCATCGGCATCTTCTGTAAGCCTTTTCCCTCTCAGCACCGCACTATAAGTCATCAAAGAAACAAGTGAAATCATTCCTTCGACCAATTGTCTGTTCAACAGTTGTAGTTCCTCTGCTGTCCTATTACATTCCTCTATCCTATATCCTTGTACCTTGTCCAAATATGCCCATTTGAGTTGATTTAATAAGTTCTATCTACACATCTCGCCGACTATCTATTCATCTCAGTATCGGGCTATTAATGTTGCTACACTTTGGTCATTTTAGTCCGCAATCTACTTTATCCAGGTCCTATCAGAGTCTATCTCTTGCCTCATGAGCTCCCTAGTTCAATGATCTCATTCGGTCACTGCCAACAAATCCGTGCTCTTTTCCACACTCTGCCTACAGCCGTTGATGGCCTCCATAAGTAGGTCCCGAAAGTTCGGATTCTCAATCTGGAAGAGAATCGACGTATCTCGCTCTGTCAAATGGTCAGCCGTCTTCCTAGCTCGATGCCAAGCTAAATTCCGCTTATAATTACATTTCTGGAGTCAAGTTAATGGGGTCCATGAGCCGAAGAATAAGCAACTTATATTGTCTTACATTTGCAGTCCTCAGGGTGAAAGCTTACATAGACCTGTGGCCATTTAAGCTTTGGTGTATGAGTTTTTATAAAATTGATGCCAATTTAGATGCCACTGAATCTAATGAAAAGGTGTTTATTTGGCGAGCTGTAGCAGAAACAGGACACGAGGAGGCCTTATTGGTGCTAAGATTCTTTTGCGACAAATAGGTCAGATCAAGTCGATCTTTTACTTAATCCTACACAGGCAAGAAGCAAGCAAATTTGATGTATCAGGTTTCGGTATTACCTCGTTCATACATGAGTTGTTTTTCATGCGAATAGGAAATTATATGTGTCTTTCACAGATGGAAAAATAAATAGTTTCTTTACTCAATAGAACTTTATTTATATAAAATGCGAAAAACTTTAGACAAACTAACTGTTTTACAATGCTATAAAAGGTATGTGAACACACGGCAAGTAACACTCGATAGGGATAGCTAAGCGTAACTCAATATTGTCGAAGAGTAGTATAGCGGAAATACATTACTTTATTATTTATCATGTCTATGAAAATGCGCTGATACCAGAGACAATTTGGTCCTCGTTGGTCTTCCTGTTACTGGCCCCTAATACGGTATGAAATGGGCGCAGTCACAGCCTCCCAAACAGTAGATAAATGAAGTCTCCATCCCATGCAGCTAGCCATCGCAACCAAGAGTGTCAGACCGAACAGCCGATAGACGACAACCAACGCGAATGAGCATCGGGAGCTTATGTCCTTGGTCCTCCCAAGTATACTATTTTTCTGCGTGAAATGATCCCCAAATTAGGCTGGATGGAAGCCATCCAACTTCGAATGCAAGCAGAATCCGTTCATATACGTCTTCACTTGTCGTTATTCCATTATGGAGGCGAAATGGAAATATGTGAAGAGCTAAAATGGGTTTGAGTACATCGTGTGCCGCATATTAGAGTCACATTAGCCACTGGAGGTTCAGGCTAATTTGGACCGGGGATGCTCGAGAAACTAAGAGATACAGTTTGCGGGAAAATTACGTCTCATTTACGGGAAAAATTGATGATTTTTGTGGTGTCACACTTTACTAGGCCTTTACATTGTCCAGTAGCAAGGGATTGTCTGGCTTGTGTGCCTCTTTCAGAGGTACAGGAAGCCTGAATCTGGCCATCTGAAGACCGGTCAAGCTGTCCTAGCTCAGAGTAGGCCAGGCCTCGGGCTCTGTCACTTGATCCTTTTAAAAATGTGCTAACTTTACAGCTTTCCAGTGAGAGGACTCTTCAGACCAGAGTAGCATTCCGGCTCATTAGGCGAATATAAGTGTAAAAAAAGCCGGAATAGGAATTTCGTCATCGAGATGAAAGTGAATTTCGCCTAGCAGTGCCTTCCATAAAGACCACTTTTTCAAGGATGCATTCCAATTTAAGCCTATGTCTCATTAGCACATCCGACGCGATTTGAGACCGGATCATTCGCAGTAATTGGAAGCAATTTGCCTATTTGGCTAAACAGCCAAAAGGGCCACTTAGCTACAGAACAGATGTGATATTCAAGGAAAGCCAGGCCTCTTCTCTATTACATTTATATTAGGATTGCGGAGACAAACTTCTATTTAGTGTGATTCGACGTTTCATTTCGAAGGAAAAGTTGTTTGGACCACCTAGATTTATATTTTCCTCATTATTCTTAGTTACTGCAAGTAGCATTCGAAGCTATCAGTACTTCTTGAATTAGGTAGCAAGTTCTTATGCAGGAATCACCGAAGGCATCTAAATATGATATAAAATATTAAACCGGCTTTCTTCTGATGCTGAATATCTTAGTATGGTTCGATTATGCTGATTTCAGGGTCGAAACAATAACTTTGGGATAAGCATGGAGATGGAATTAAACTCATAGATTTGATATGTATTCACCCAATATCGTTTAAGGTGATGAAGAACTGGTAGAAGAAGAATTTTCCCACAATGATATGAATTGAGCTGACGTTTCCATTCAATTTCGCATAGCCTTGCTTTCCCAAAAGTTGTTCTCATCCAGGCTGAAGTAGACTACAGTTTCGACCTCGCATCGGTCTTATGAACATCCTCAGCGGGAGTCGAACTGGGACAGTGCAGGATGGGAGCCTGACGCACTAACCACTCGGTTGCACTGCCACGAGCGCCTTTTGGGTCACAGGGAAAATGTGAATTCTCAAGGAAGGCCAGGCCTTTTTGCCATATCATATTGTTTTTAGTGGAATTGTCGATGAAGCAAACGTATAGCTGCTATAACAATCGACTAATATACTTTATTTTTCGAATTAAGTATTCTTTTCGTGACTACCAGTAAATCAGTAATATGAGATGTAGTCCTAAAATTTGAAACTTTGTGGAAAGCAAGGCTATGTCAAATTCAATGGAAACTTCAGCTCAACTCATATCATTGTGGAAAAATTCTTCTTCTACCAGTCCTTCATCAGCTTAAACGAAATTGAATGAATACATCTCATATTACTGATTTACTGGTAGTCATGACAACAATACTTATTCGAAAAATAAATTCGTAGAGCCTGGCCATGAGGTCCGTCAGCGGCAAAA